TTCTCCTCTGCCTTCTCTGTATCTCGGTGCTCTTTGAGGCCCGAACTTACAGCCTTGCTGACAATAGTTAGTAGTTTACTAATTCCCATAATTTTTTTCTTCATTCTCAAATCACTCTCCTTTTCAGATGATGATGTAGAGACAGATTTCAATGATCTGGAGACTTATGGTATGTAACAAAAACAGCCCAACTTCATGTGCATTTGTGGAACTCATTTTTTTCTCTGTTAATGAAAGAAAATGTTGCACATAATTTTGATATATTGCATTTCTTTCCATTCCACTCAAAAATGTTCAAATTGTTAACTGTATGAGGTGCGTCAAAAAAGTTCCAGGACTGACTGTGCTGTGTGAGCTATAAGTGGAGGAGGGATTAGCGGGTTGTGTCACAGTGTGACGTAATATCTGGGGTGTGTATAACTGCAGTCTCAGCTCTCTGCAGCCATTGTATGCTTTTTCAGATGCTCTTGTTAACAGCTCCTCAAGTTTAGATTGTCAACCTGAAGTTGACGATCCACTCATAGCTGTGTGAGCTATGAGTGGAGGAGGGATTAACAGGTTGCATCACTGTGTGACGTAATATCTGGGGTGTGTATAACAGCAATCTCAGCTCTCTGCAGCCATTGTATGCTTTTTCAGATTATTATGATCATGAGACATATGAAAATGATCTGGGGGCTATGACTGATGGTATGTACCAAGAACAGCTTGATTTAACTGCATGTTTATGTGCTTCTGTGAATGTTGTTTAATCATTTAATGACTCAAATGACATTTGCAAGACATGAGGCTAGCTGTTGTATTATATCATTTTTGAAGGATTTGTTTTAACTACACAGTGTTTTATTTATATGTGTATATATGCTTTATTTATATCTATATAATATTTCAACATTTTTAATATTGTCACTTTTCTCTCAAAATTTTCAGCAATCCCTGAAAAGAAGAATAAATCAAAATCAGGTAAAGGCTTTCGTCTTTTCCTTGTGAAAATGCTGAAAAGCTTTAAAAGATCGATATAAGTTTTCAAATTGACATTGTGTTAAAAAGTAGTGTACTTTTTAATAAATTGGGGTGATCAAGACTCAAGTGAATTATAATCATATCCTGCTGATGACCTGTAGCCATATTAGCAGCTTGGCTTTAAAGGTCAGTCAGTCAGTCCATCTGTCTGTTTCATCATCACTTCAAACTGAAATATCTCAACATCTGATTAAACACAAAAAGTTCATGTACATGAATGTTTTCTAAGTTACACTGTTATTTGTTCATGACAGAAAGTGGTGGAGTTTAGCATATTCATGTATTGTCTTACATATATTTGTAAGGTTTTTATTAGTACTGTCATAAGTTAGATGGTTATAAACAAGAAAGAACAATGAGATCCTCATGGATTGCTGGAATCTCTTCCCTGTGAATAGTGTTCAGTGGAATTAGCCGCATCTTTACGGGTGATAAAAAGGCCTCAACTCGGAGCAGCAGTAAGAAAAAAAGTGGTGAGTTGACTATTCTTTCTCAGTCTCATTGATGCTATTACATTGTCTACACATTCAAATGGACATACCTTGGATTTTGCAGTATGTGTTCATGTTTATCTGGACTGTCAGAGCAGTAACCATCAGTATGTTCTGTATCTCATGACAGTGTTGTGTTAATATTTTTATTGTGAATGCATGTCTGTGTGAAGACAGACATATCACTTTCCTTACAGACCCTAACAATCTCTATGATCCCTTTCCCACTTCTGTGCAGTTATACACAGATGATTTTGTGTTTGCACTTTGATTTTCTTTTCCCAAATGTCTTTATGTGGAGATGCAGACACTGGGCCCAAGCAGCCACACAGAGACCCTTTGCTGCAGCTGGTTTCCTTGCAGGAGGCCTCTGGCTGCTGGCCTCTACACCCAGCTTTAGCTGCTGCCCTGGGAAAGACCAGCAAGGAGGTGGAAAACACAAAACCTGCCTCGGTGGGTTACTGTTAAAAGTACTGTAGGACCGCAACTTGATTTTAGATTTTTGACACCTCTTTACATATCTCGATGTAAGACACTGTCTGGTCAGCCTTGGTCTCAAATCTGCACTCATATTGTTGACCTTGGTGAATTAGGTCAACAAGGAAGTGTGGGCCACCGTTCTGGCTCTGATCTGGCTTCATGGTTTCAAGATGGCTGCAAAGGAAGAGTGGGAGCTTCTGGCTATGAAGGCTGTGTCTTGGCTCAAGGCTCAGAATGGTAACAACTGTAATGATAATTGCTGATCTTTTGTTTTTAACGTGGTATGTTGGTTAAAATCAGCTGTTTGTCAATAGTCAAGTCTTGTTACAGTTGTATTTTCTTTTCCAGCACCATGTGTGACAGACTGTGTGGAAGCTGGGAATGCACTGTTACGATGCAAGTTGCAGAAAATCACCCTTGGACTCTGAGACTTTCAACTGGCTTATGTTTAGGATTGGCACACCAAAGCTTTGCACCATCCTACAGTGTTTATTGCAGTTGTATCTACATTGCACTTAAATGTTTGCACTATTTTCATTTTTATCATACAGTCTTTTTGTTAAACTCCATAGAGATGAGCTGACATGGAAAAAAGTCAGGTCTGTTTTTGTGCCTTTTCATTCTTGCTATACTTACACAGCAGTTCATTCATCTATCAGCTTTGCAGTGGCACAAACAAATGGAATTGTTCTTCTGAAACTAAATGAAATGACAAATACGAAGCTACAGTCTTTTGCTAACTAAAGCATATTTAAAACAAATTTGTTGTGTGATTGTCTGATCATAAATGAAAAACTCCTAAAATCTTTCCACATGCCTTTGTTGGAAGATTAATTTTTTTAAGGTTCTTCTGGGAACAGTTAAAATTAAATACAGTCTCAGTGATGTGATTTGAATGCAACGTCTCAGCAGTTTTCTTTGAAAGTAAATGACAACACTGGCAAAGTCTTATTTTCTCCTTGTCAATTCAGACATGGGTGGAGCCAAGGGGTGGCCAAAGGTGGCACTGGCAACCCCCGGAACCTGAATGGCCACCCCTGGTGTCACTCCTGCCAAAGTCAAAAGGCTTGTTCAAGATGAGCTGCCCCTCGCCTGGTAAGCGGATGAGAACGGGCAGTGGCAGATGGGGGTGGTGGCAAAAATTCGCAGTCACAACAGACATTTTAGGAGCTAGGACGTTTTTCTATATGACAAGGAGATGAAAATGTATATGGGCTACATTTCTCACATAAAGCAATCATCCTATCAGTTTGCTGCTTTATTTCAGCTGACAGGCTTGATTTAATATGAAACTGCATAAAAACTTTCATAGACATATTTCAGTTTACAATTCACAGATTCAAACAGTTGATACAAGGACATAGGAACTTGAACCTTTTGCAGTTATATTTTTCTTTATAATTAATATCGGCCAATTTAGTTTTATATCATGCATGCAGCATGATTTTTGCATTATGGTTTATTAATCGTTTAATATAACCAGGTGACAAATTTCTTTATCTCAAATGTGCCACCCCTTCTGGGGTCTGTGGCCCCTGCTCTTAGAAAACCTATCTGACATTGAAGCAGTTGCACTTTGAAGTTTTAGCTCCACCCAGTTGCTGTACCCTGAATCAAGCGTACCTCACCGATGTGACTGATCGGTTATTATAGTCATATGTGTGTACACCCGTCTGGAGCTGTGTTAGACGTTCAGAGCCCGCAGGAGGAAACTACCGGCAGTATAATGAAATGCTTTTTTCTCTTCTCTGAGCAAACTGTGTCTGGAAACTTTTGTTATGGGCCATAAACAGATTTTCAACTTCCCAAAAAGTACAGAGGTGTGACCACAGAACTAGACATGACACTTCTGGTACATAGAACAAAGAACTGACACTGAAGAAAATGTACTACAGGAGATAATGGAGTAAAGTTTTCATCCTACTTTAAGAACAGTAACAGCTACAGAGAACTTGTGCTGCAAGAGCTGCAGACACCTGGAGCCTGTACCATGAAGTGATATTATAATAACAATAACCTTTATTTATATAGCCCTTTACAACTCCTAGGAGCACAAAGTGCTGTACAATGAAGCTAAAATAGCCAAAAAAGCCTTACAAAAACAGTAGAACCTTGCAGAATAAAACGCTAAAACATTCTTATACAAACTATACAGAGCATAACAAAAAGAATATCTCTATGGGCAAATAAAAAGCAATTTAAATATCAAACGCCTGTTTAAAAAGAAGAGTTTTTAAAACTGATTTAAAAATCGCTAATTTTGTTATGCACCGTAACTCTTGCGGTAGAGAGTTCCAAAGTCTGATGATATTAGTGGCCTAACCAACTAACTTCATCTCAGCTAATCTGCTGTGGAGCAGGGCAACTTTAAATGATAGGATCCAAACCTGTCAACAGCCTGACCACTGACCAATCAGATCACTGGAAAAACTGGAGCATTTATTTTGAGGATCTTCTCTGGTCATCCAGAGCTTCTTCTGGACTAATAGTTCACAGTGTGTAATGTCTCTTTGACTGTAGTATTTCTAACCTGTCTGACCTTGTTTGCAGGTAGTGAAGGTGCCGGTGTCCAGGTGACGTCTGTTCCAGCCTCCCTGGTTCCCTACAGTCTGTCTTTCTCTGCTCGAGTGTCCTCTCCTCGTCCAGTCTCTAAAGTAGAGTCCAGCAGTTCCCTGGACCCTCTCCAGTACCTCAACACAGAGCAAACCCAGGCCACGGTGGGCAGACTGCTAATGTGTCTGCTGTGTATGGTTGTTCTCCATAACTCAGCTTTATTTATATTGATGAGTGTGCTTTGTGAACTACAGGTGAAATTGGCTGCAGGACACAAGTTTGACAGAGATGTTGAACTGCTGATTTATTACAAAGATGCCCACCAGCCCACTGCTGTGGTAGAGGCAGGACAGGCCTCTGCCAAACCTGGTGAGTGCAAACTAGTGATGATGATACTTTGCTACCCTCAATGTGATGCTCATTACTTCAGTGCGTAGCAATAAAAATCAGGTTTGTGGTCATTTTTCTGCCTTTGCTCTGTGTTTCAGGCAATGTCTTCAGCCGCCTCATGTGGAGAGTTTGTTTTTTTACTGGATCGATCTGGGAGCATGGATTGTTGTACCAACAACAGCAAGCCACAAGAAACTCGCATTGGCAGTGCCAGGGTATTCAGCTAGTGTTAACTTCATCCTAAACTCACTGATATTGTCTCTCTCACATAAAAATCTTCACTATCGGTTTTCTCTTAACTTCAGGATACTCTACTGCTCCTGTTGAAGAGCTTACCGATGGGCTGCTATTTCAACATCTACAGTTTTGGTTCCAGCTACGAACACATCTTCCCGTAAGTCAGTCCTGTCTTCAAGACTGAAGCTTAATGATGCACGTGAATATTGGTGCATGTTGTATGTTTATGCAATTGTGTTGCGGCAGTAAGAGTGTGGAGTACAGCCAGACATCCATGGAAGAGGCTCTGAAGAAAGTTGAGGAGATGCAGGCTAACCTGGGAGGAACTGAGATTCTGAGGCCTCTCGACCACATTTACAGTCAGCCTTGTGTCCCCGGTCATCCAAGACAAGTAATCTAAACAAATACACAAAGCCTACACAGGTTCAACAAGAATTTCTTGTTGCTTCCACAGTACTTTGTGGCTTTGGCACACACTGAAATGTTCTCGTTGGTCTCAGTGGAGCCTCGTCACGGTGGAATCTTTGTCACATGGCAAAAAAAATCAATCCACCTGATCAATCATTTAATGGTAAAATGGACTGTATTTTATATAGCGCTTTCTCACAGTGTGTTGCACTGGCCAAAGCGCTTTTACAGAAGATCATACACCATTCACTCATTCACACACAACAGTCACACACCGATGACGACAGGCTGCCATGCACCGGCGCTAGTCAAGCCACCGGGAGCAATTCAGGGTTCAGTGTCTTGCTCAGGGACACTTAGGCATGCGTGGAGACCGGGAGTCAAACCACCAACTTGCTGGTCAGGAGACAACTGCCCTACCTCATGAGCCACAGCCACCCCATTTAATGATGCGCTTCAGTGACTCACCTGGGAAGCCTGTAAACAAAACGGTGATTCATTTGTATACATGTTTTTAAATAGAACTTAATTCTGTCAAATAGGTGTATCTCAGACACAATCATGCAAATATTGTTGTCCAGCACATTTCTGCTGTCGAACAGCCTGGTGTCCTTCATTGTCGGTCATTGGCTCCTGATGAGCCAATGACCGACAGCTGCTCTGATGCTGTTCATGTCTCACTCTCAGTCAAGCTGTGGTTATGTTGTTGAGTGAAGCACTGGAGACTGTTGAGGAATCAATTTAGCAACTACTAGAAAAACTTTGATTGAAACTGTTACTGAAAAATAACTATCTTATATTAATCCATATAATAAAGTGTTTGTTGACCTTCAGAGAAAGTGATGTAACGTGCATTAGGGATGGAAGATGGAGCTCAAAGAGGGACAGATGAGCATAGAGGAGGCAGGACCTAAGTGTTCAGACTGTACTGTGTTTTCTTGATGCAGTGTTATGTAACTTATGTGTAAACTCTCCTCCCTAGTTGTTTGTCTTTACCGATGGAGAGGTGGGGAACACCAAACAAGTGATAGATCTGGTGAAGAAGAATTCAGGCTCCCACAGGTGAAGCCACAAAACACACAACTAACAA